GAAATTCACTTGAATGGAAACTGGATGTCCTTTGTGCTGAATGATACATGCCATGAACATATAGACTTATTATTCCCATCCTTTGCAGAAGATATGAGGTATAGGTCATATCGCTTGTCTGGCCTAGGCTAGTGTCGTTGCTGAGGACTATCATCATATCGGCTGTAAGGGAACATTGTATTTCCTTGAGCATGTGTATGTGCATGTGGTGGTAGAGGGCTGTCACCTGCCTATTCTCTATGCATCTTTGACTTGAGAACTCTTTTGGACCAGTGGCTTTTATATTGATATTCTGTTGTGGAATGACAGGATATTGTGACACATCAGCCAAACCAGAGTCTTTGTTTTATGTTGTGTTTGGCAGATTTAGATGGATTTGAAATATGCCCAAATAGTCATGTTCCCAATAGTTAATGTTTTGGTTTTCATCAAGGCCTCTTGAATAAAACAGAAGGAATTTTGATTGAGTTACTCAATGTTTTTCAACTGCAGAAAAAGAGCATATGTTTGAGATTCGTTTCACTGGAAAGATAATATTGTTACTTATGTTCTATACCCTGGGCACATGGATTATTTTCTGAAGTCTTTCTTGAGATGCCATACTGGATGGATATATATCCAGTGATCACTACTCAATGTGGCACTATCTTCATATCCTAGCGTATAACATGGTATTAAGAGAAATGTCACCACCTTTTATCCACAGAATATTTCCAGGAATTACTCTAATTTTTGGCTATTATGCCGTGAGAGTCCCAGTTAGCTTCTGAGTTGTTTTCCAGGAAGTTCTTGCTTCTAAAACTAACATACGAGTACAGCTTCAGTACATATGTGGAAACTGTGTTTTAAACAGTAACATCTGTCTCAAAGGAGTCATGATAGAGACCATTCATGGGCTCTTTAAGAGGCAAGGAAAGAAAAAGATTAAAACCCAGCAACCAGATGCTCCTTTAGTCAGTACTGAAATAGTATTAAAGTTTCAGAGGGGTAGCTGTGTTAGTCTGTAACTGGAAAAACTTAAAAACCACAAATAGTCTTGCTGCGATACAATTTTGAAATTGTATAAGACATCCATCAGCCTCAAAAGGCTTAGGAAATGATTGAGAAATCCAGTGCCTAATTGGACAGCACGAATCCCTGAAAGGGAATGTTACTCCATAGTCTGCTTGGCAATCCCAACTTGACCTCAATACCAGCTTGAGGTTGGGGATACATAGAGGCTGCGTCTAGATTGGCATGATTTTCCGGAAATGCTTTTAACGGAAAAGTTTTCCGTTAAAAGCATTTTCGGAACAGAGCGTCTAGATTGGCACGGACTCTTTTCCGCAAAAGCACTTTTTGCAGAAAAGCGTCCGTGCCAATCTAGACGCGCTTTTCCGCAAAAAAGCCCCAATCGCCATTTTCGCGATCGGGGCTTTTTTGCAGAAAACAGATCAGAGCTGCCTACACTGGCCCTTTTGCGCAAAAGCTTTATGACTCTATCCTCCAAAACACTTGCTACCCCTCCCAGCTTGATATTATCTGCAAACTTAATAATTGCACTCTCTATGCCATCATCTAAATTGTTAAGGATATTGAACAGAACCAGTCCCAGAACAGACCCCTGTGGAACACCACTTGTTATGTCCTTCCAACATGATTGTGAACCATTAATAACTACTCTCAGAGGTTATCCAGCCAATTATGCACCCACCTTATAGCAGCCCCATCTAGGTTGCATTTCCCTAGTTTATTAATGAGAAGGTCATGCAAGACCATGTCAAATGTCTTAGTAAAGTCTAGATATATCACGTTCATCGCTTCTCCCTTATCCACAAGGCTTGATATCCTGTCAAATAAAGTTATCAGATTGGTTTGACATGATTTGTGCTTTACAGATCCATGCTGGCATTACCTATGACCTTATTTTCCTCCAGGTGTTCGCAGTTGATTTCCTTAATTACTTTCTCCATTATCTTCCCTGGCACAGAAGTTAAACTGACTGGTCTATAGTTTCCTGGATTGTTCTTATTTCCCTTTTTATAGATGGGCACTATATTGGCCCCTTTCTAATCTTCTAAAATCTCTGCCAATGTCCATGATTTTTCAAAGATGATAGCTAATGACTCAGATACCTCCTCTATCAGCTCCTTGAATATTCCAGGATCTATTTAATCAAGCCCTGGTGACTTGAAGACATGTAACTTTTTTTTTCAAGTAATTTTTAACTTGTTCCTTTTTTTTAAACTTCTAAACCTACCCCATTTCCACTAGCATTCGCTATGTGAGGCATCCCATCGCCATCAAACTTCTTGATGAAAACCGAAACAAAGAAGTCATTAAGCACCTCTGCCATTTCCAATATATATTGTTTCTCCCTCTTCCCTAAGCAATGAGCCAACCTTGTCTTTGGTTTTCCTCTTGCTTCTAATATATTTGTAGAATGTCTTCTTGTTACCCTTTATGTCTCTAGCTAGATTTAGCTCGTTTTGTGCCTTTGCCTTTCTAATCTTGCCCCTGTGTACCTGTGTTCTTTGCTTATATTCATCCTTTGTAATTTGACTAGGTTCCAATTTTTTATACAACTACTTTTTGGCTTTTAGATCATGTAAAATCTCCTGGTTGATCCAAGGTGGTTTCCTGCCATACTTTCTATCATTCCTACACAGTAGAATAGTTTGCTTTTGGGCCCTTAATAATGTCTCTCTGAAAAATTTCCAGCTCTCTTCATTTGTTTCCCCTTGGTCTTGCTTCCCATGGGACCTTACCTACCAGCTCTGAGTTGACTAGAAACTGCCTTCCTGAGATCCATTGTCTATATTTTCCTGTTCTCCCTTCTACCATTCCTTATAATCATGAACTCTGTGATTTCATGATCACTTTCAACCAAGCTGCCTTCCACTTTCAAATTTTCAACCAGTTCCTCCCTATTTGTTAAAATCAAATCAAGAACAGTTTCCCCCTCTCCAGAAGTTTTTTCAACCTTCCGAAATAAAAAATTGTCTCTAGTGCAGTCCAGGAACTTGTTGGATAATCTGTGCCCTGCTGTGTTAGTTTCCCAACATATGTCTGGATAGTTGGAATCTCCCATCACCACCAAATCCTGTGCTTTTGATGATTTTTGTTGTTTTTAAAAAAAAGCCTCATTCACCTTTTCTGCCTGGGTAGGTGGTCTGTAGTAGACCCCCTAGCATGACATCACCGTTTTTTAGCTCTTTCAATCTAACCCAGAGACTCTCAACAAGTTTGTCTCCTGTGTCTATCTCCACCTCAGTCCAAGTATATACATTTTTAATATATAAGGCAACACCTCCTCCCTTTTTTCCTTGCCTAGCCTTCCTGAGCAAGCTGTGCCCTTCTATACCAATATTCCAAACAGTTGGTATCACAGAGGGTGGATCTGCACTGCACTGTTATTCTGGAATAACAGTTGTTATTCCGGAAAAATAATACTAGCGTCCACATAGCACGTTATTTTGAAAGAAAATTGAAATAACGGAGGGCTTTTTCCAATGTTGGTAAACCTCATTCCATGAGGAATAAGTCTTCTTCTGAAAAAGCTTTTTCAGGAAAGGGTATCTGTGGACACTTCACTGCTGGTCTGTCAAAATAAGTCCTCATCAGGACCATTCTAAAGTAATTCCTCTCCAGTGCCTCCTGGGGCTCTATATCAAGATAATGCGTCCACATTAGGGGAGCCTACCTCAGACATCCGTGTAGTGTGGATGCTATATTTTGAAATAAGCTATTCTGGAACATATCTTCTGGAATAGCTTTTTCCAAAATACGCTTGCAGTGTAGACTTACCCAGAGACTTGGTGTGATAATACACACGTAGTTTTATGAGGCCGGGTTGAAGAAAACCTTATTTTGTAATTTGGCATAAAACCTCTGATGAAAATAGTTATCTGGCTTGACTAGCTCAGTGTTAAGCCTGCTTCAGTGGTCAAAAGATTCATCCGTGTTATTCCCACACTTTGTGGTTTTGGAATATTAACAGAAGAAGTTGTGAGGTAAAGGCAATGCTACTTGTCCGGGGGTGGTGGCTGAGTATTGTTATCTTACCAGCTATATGGGAGCATAGTAATTCTTTCAGGATTACTGAACATACCTATGAGGATGCAGTTTGTTGATACAACAACTTTGTAACACATGCAAATCTTGTCATGTTAATAAAGTTATCAGCAGTGGAGAGGGGGGCTGAAAATGTCTGATATATAAAGGATAGCAGCAGTGAAGGGGCTAAAGCTATGATGCTATGTATAGCTGAGTCTAGTCCCTTATTTTTACCCTCTAAATAGTTAGGACTAGGTACAGAAGTTGTCCTCTTTGGGCTTGGAGGTTGTACAGAAGTACCTCATCTTTGCTGTTGCATGTTTAGGGAGTGACAAGGCAGGATTAATGTGGAAATAGTGTGTTGCCCTTTGTGTGAAGGATATAAAGAGGTATCTGAGATTTCTTTCTGGAAATAATCCCAATGTAGCCTGTTATTCAATAGGAGGCAGTCTTCCCTGCAATTACTACTTGTCCTTCTGCCCCACTGTGTTACTCTGAGGTGGTGTAGTGCTGGAGGTGCCTTGGGTGGGATGAATTATGAAACAGGGCCTGGCTGTCAATGGCTGCATTACCACACATGTGGAGCTTGGCGTACACTTTGACAGCTCTGTCAGCATAGGAGTCCTGTTGTCAAGAGTGGCTTATATGGCAAATTCTATTTTTCTGAGACCATGATTAATCATGTACATTTTCTGAATGCAGACTAGCCTGTAAAGAGCACCTGCTGTGTTTTTTTCCTTAGGATAAGGTGTGGGGTTCATAGGAGGGAAGTCAGTTATTCTTCATACACATGTATATCTCCCCAAATTCCAAGGATGCAAGTCAGGGTCTTAGTATTAAATAATTAAAACACTCTAGGCTCGAAGTACTAAAGCAATCACCTCTCCTTGTAGGTATAATACCTGTCCAGGAGTTAGTTGAGTTTCTTGGTCTATACATTCACTCAAGATTAGGACAGGTCTTACCTGGTAAAGTTTCACAGCTGAGGCAGTCATTCATTTGGGAAGGTGGGAAGAGAGAGGTTGTACAAGGCTGAAAAACTTTTTGCTTGGTAGATCACTGGATTTGCTAAATAAGATAAATAAAATTTCATGTGACTGTTTGCAAGAATACAGGCATTAGCCTTAACGCCATGGCTGAATTTGCATTCTGCCTCTCTGAATTCCCTGTGCAGTTTTCTGAATAATTACCTCCATTTCCTGTATCAAATGGTGTGCAGTGTTGCTGTGGGCTGTTAAACAGCTACCAAATGTATGTCTGAGGACACGGCTCTCTTGTAGTGTAAGCATGCATGTGTGCATGCACACAGAATGAAGTTCACTTTTATCAGAATTGGTTATTCACAATACACATTTCCTTCAACCAGAATTGTTCAGTAAGCAGCTAGTTGTGTCTTGAGGTGAAAGGAAATTCCCAAAAGAGTCACTTTCATATTCCATCCAGTTATGCAAATTGTCTCCCCCTTCACGAGGAGTAATGGTAGTTCGGAATAGGAAGCCTAGTCCGAACTACCTAGTCCGTGCCGCGTGTAGCCGCGTGGCACGGAGTCCGCACTAGCGGACATTTAAAAATGGCGGCACCCAGCGAGATGCAAATGAAGCCCGGGAAATTCAAATCCCGGGCTTCATTTGCAACTCCGGTTGCCTACATTACCACCCTACTTCGATCTAGGGTGGTAGTGTAGACATAACCTTAGTGCATAGATCAGACCAACTGAATTAATGGAAAATGTATGTGGGTTAAACTAGTGATTTTGGTTCCCCCATAGGAATGAAAGGCTCACATATGAGCTTATGCTCATTACAAAGCTGGAGCTGGAATACACCGTGTTAAATCTGTCACTACTGCTTTCCTCTAGACAGAGATTACCTCTGCATCTGTTTGATCTTCAGAGATGCAGAGCTCCTCAGCTCCCATTGACTTAAATGAGCATTGCTGGTGCTCGGCACGCTTTGAAAATCAGCAACTGTACATCCTGTTAGGTTACCATTGCTGTAACTAAATTGCCACCATTTTGTGGCCATTGTAAATGACACTGTGCAATACAGTGATTGAGATGCAGCCATGGTTAGTCTGATCTAGCTGAAACAAAATACAGGACTATGCAGCACTTTAAAGACTAACAAGATGGTTTATTAGGTGATGAGCTTTCGTGGGCCAGACCCACTTCCTGATCTGAAGAAGTGGGTCTGGCCCACGAAAGCTCATCACCTAATAAACCATCTTGTTAGTCTTTAAAGTGCTGCATAGTCCTGTATTTTGTTTCAACTGTGCAATACAGAAGAGTCAGAGCCAAAAATATCTTTGCCAGACAAAGAAAAGGAGTGAAACTTGTCTCAACAGTGCTGTCTTCTGGTCTCCATTATTAATGTGTCACTGAAAAGGTCTACTAAATAGTTCCTGTGTGTAGCGTGAAACTTGTGAAGTGCTGGGGGAACTGACAATGCTGTCTGCTCATCCAACAATGCTTTAAACATTTGTGTAGTGGTGGCATGGAACGCTAGAGGGCAGCAGAGTATAAGGCATGATTTAGAGAAGCTAGAAATCCTGCAAATAAATAGCTGATAATGAATTCTTTTGCTTAAATCACTGTATTCTACATTTATACCCCCCTACTTTAGTAATCCTACAGCACAACCATTATCATCCCTTAGTGCATCAGAGAATGTTTCTCTTTTTGCCATCTTCTGTCATGCATTTTAATGGAAAGCAATTCCTGGCTGCCATTTTACTGAAGTATTCTAGGGTATGTCTACACTACCCCGCTAGTTGGAACTAGCGGGGGTAATGTAGTCATCCGCAGTTGCAAATGAAGCCCGGGATTTGAATTTCCCGGGCTTCATTTACATGAAGGCGGCCGGCGCCATTTTTAAATGCCGGCTAGTTCGGACTCCGTGCCGCGCGGCTACACGCGGCACGGACTCGCTAGTTCGGATTAGGCTTCTAATGCGAACTAGCTGTACACCACGTTCCACGAAGCGTACAGCTAGTTCGGATTAGAAGCCTAATCCGAACTAGCTAGTCCGTGTCGCGTGTAGCCGCGCGGCGCGGAGTCC